CTCCACAAAGGGGGACCCACAAAAGACTGGCTCTAGAGTTTGCCAAATGGTGGGGGGACAACTAGAAGGCCATAGATGGGGGCATGAGGTGAGAAACAGTCCTTCAGATATTTTATTATTCTTCATTCATCCATTTCTCTCTTTCTCCCCAACGGGCCCCCAAAACACCTCACATCCTACTCCTCTCCTCCATTTTATCCCCACAACAACTCTGTGAGGCAAGTTCAGCTGAGAAAGTGTGACTGGCTAAAGGTCAGCCGGCAAGCTTCCATAGCACAAGCAGGGATTGGAACCACTCCTCTCCTCCATTTTATCCCCACAACAACTCTGTGAGGCAAGTTCAGCTGAGAAAGTGTGACTGGCTAAAGGTCAGCCGGCAAGCTTCCATAGCACAAGCAGGGATTGGAACCCAGGGCTCCTAGGCAGAAGCCCAACAACTCTTTACCAGTATACCATTCTGGCTTTCTAGAGGGATCACTAACTTGGAAAGCAAACTTGGAAGCTCCTCAAACTTTGGACTCAACGGTGAGGAAATATTAACAGCCTCTATAAAGTCACCCTTGGAAGCCGGCTTGTTTTCAAGTTGGATTTGCCACGACTTGCAATTTAATTGTTGACAGAAGAAACTATGTCCGCGGGGGTGTGGGGGTGGGGAGTTGAATGTGAAATGGTGTCTGCCTTAAGGTTGCTAAAAATTGTCAGTGCAGCCTGCTGCAATAATTTTATTTATTTATTTTATTTATTCTTTGGATTTGTATCCCGCCCTCCTCGAAGGCTCAGGGCGGCTAACAAGGGCAAATGCCAGATTATAACAATAAAAACAATATAAATACAATAAATACAGAATACTACAGTTGATTAAAATTAATAAAAAAATTAAAATGTCGGTGCTCCAATACTCACTCCGAATCATAAAACCAAAGTGGTGTTCTGAAGGTGTTACAGCTGAACCACAACAGCGATATATGTCCCCACAACCCTGTCGTCCACTAGGGATGTCCCGCACCCGCACCCCCGATGATACCCGCACCAGCAGTGATAGAGTGCGGTGATGGAAAGGCGTCGATGGAATAATGTTACAGGTTTCTGTCTCCACCAAAGGCATGTCCACAATGCCAATTTCAGCCAGAACGAGGGATGGGCACAAACCCCAGTTCAAGCACAAATCAGGCTGTTTCGTGAACCAGAGGTTCAGCTGAACGTATGTCCCACAATCCGCCCCACAAAGCTCTATGTTTTTCATGGAGGTTCGTGGGAGACATGTTCTTAGATGCCATTGGAGCCCACCACCAGCCCGCGGCCCCACCTGAGTGAGCTCTGAAGGCATTTAAATGCCTTTGGAGCTTACTTCCAAGTCGGACTGCCCGATGGGAAGTGAGCTCCAAAGCATTTAGATGCCTTTGGAGCCCACCTCTGGGTCGGGAGGGCCCATAACGAGCTCTGGAGGCTTCTATAGGCCTTCAGAGCCACTTCACCCGGAAGTGGGCTGAGTTGAGAGCTCCCAGAGTGAGCTCTGGAGGCCTATAAAGGCTGGCCCAATGTGGAGGTGGTCGGGCTGAACTCCCCGAACATTGAACCAGTTTGTGCAATGGAGGAGTTCGTTGCAAACCCCAGTTCAAGCACAAATTAGGCTGTTTTGTGAACCAGGGGTTCAGCTGAATGTGTGTCCCACGATCCACCCCACAAAGCTCTATGTTTTTCATGGAGGTTCGTGGGAGACGTGTTCTTAGATGCCATTGGAGCCCACCACCAACCCGCGGCCCCACCTGAGTGAGCTCTGAAGGCATTTAAATGCCTTTGGAGCTTACTTCCCAGTCGGACTGCCCGATGGGAAGTGAGCACCTCCTACCTGGTCCCTTTAGCTGGAGATGGTGAGGCTTGAACCTGGGACCTTCTGCGTCCCAAGCAGATGCTCTACCACTGAGCTAGGACTTCTGTACAATAAGCAGTTATCTTGACTGAGACCAGGGACAAACTCATGTCAAATTCATGGCACTCTCCCATTAAAATTACCAAAGTTGGGGGTGGGGGTGGGGTAAACACAGGTCAATATACACTGTTGAAGCTCAGTGGGAAAAGTTTAAGATGATAGGCCCTGGCCTGTGAGCATGCCTAGAGTTCTGCAGCTACCAGGGTGAAAAAATATGTTAAGTTCATACACATTGCAGCCAAGATTTTGGCATTAGTATCCTATTTTTAGCAGTCACACCAGCATGGGTCTGACTCCCTCTCCCCCTCCAAAATGCCTGAGGCACTGGCATCGAATCTAGATATAATCCTGAGATTTTCCCAGTCTTGCTTATTTTTGATGAAACTTGCTTCCACCCACGTTAGTTCAAAATCAGAATCCAAAAAGAAATTGCAGTCCACTTAATGCCTTTCATTAGAACCAACCAAAATGATAGAAAACAGTGTGCGAGCTTTCAAGCTCACTAGAACACTGCACCGGGATGGATGCTCCAAAATAAAAAAGATGGTGTGGGGCAAAAGATATTTCATGCCAAATCCAGAGGGACAGCTGTGTTAGTCTGCTAACAGGAGTCAAGGGGCACCTTAAAGACGAACAATATTTATTCTGGCCTGAGCATTTGTGAGCCAGGGCTCACATCATCAGATGCAATGGACAGAAAGGAAATCATTTCCCACATATTTATCCGTGACTTAAAGGCCTTTTTTTTTACATTAAGCACAATACAGCAATTTATTTAGATGCTTAAATGAATACAAAGGGGAAATAAAGATCACAAAATTACACAGCTCTGCCCCTTCATGCTACCAACACATACTTTTTTGTGTACAGTGCAGCACTGTCGTTCATTTCAGGGAAGTTGCTAACGTGTCCCCCGTTAAGGCATGCACCTGCTGGTCATGCGCAACGGCTCTGTAGTATTCAGACAGCAATCAGTTTATTACGGTCAAAGACCCGTCAAACAGCATACAAAGTATTCAGACAGCAATTTTGCAACCAGCTAAGACTTGCTTAACCATTAAGCCCAGATGCCTGATGTGAACAGACGCGAGCAAAACTGGCTAAGCCCTTACAGCCTAGCAGTTGTGAGCCAGGATGTCCTGAGTTTGAATCTTGCCCCAAAGGACAAAACTTGCTATATATCCTTGGGCAATAAATAACATCTAGAATTTATACAGTGCTGTTGGGAGCACTTCACAGATTTTGTTTCTGTATAGCAAGGAAATATTGCACTGTAAAGAATTATCTTGATAGCACAAATATGGGGCTAAAGGCCCCCCCCCCAAAAAAAAAAGTGGAGGAAAAAGTGTGTCACTCTTCTTAAAAAAATGATACCAAACTTTTGATAACCAAATAGTATTCACACAAAGTCAATGAAAGATACAAAAGCAGACCTTTTCTATATATTTTATTGACTTTATATACACGCTATTGGGTTTAAAAAAATTGTGTGTGTGTGTGTGTGTACCTGGAAGTCATGTCGACCTCTGGTGACTGACCCCTATTGGGGGCCTGGAGGATATTCAGAGAGGTGGCTGAATAAAGCCTGCCCCCACCTCCCACCTCTGGTATTCCAAGGAGGTCTCCCATCCAAGTACTTGCCAGAGTCAACCCTGCTTAGCTTTTCTGAGATCTGATGAAATCAGGCTTGTCTGGGCGATCCTGGCCAGGGCACTATTGGTTGGTTGGTTTGTTTAAATTCGGGGTATAAGCTTTCCTTTCCCTGGAGCAAACAATGTCCTGACCCTTTAATACAGACTTAATGGGATGTTGTTTACCTCATCAGAAAAGACAATAATGTTGGGGAAAGTTAAAGGCAGCAGGAAAAGAAGAAGACCCAACATGAAATGGATGGACTCAACCAAGGAAGCCCCAAAGGCCCTCAGTTTGCAAGGCCTGAGCAAGCCTCTTAACAACAGGATGTTTTGCAAGACATTAATGCACAGGGTAGACATAAGTTGAACGTGCCTTCATGGCCCATAATACACACCATGAAAGCTACAACTGCCCATTTTCACACATTAAACCCCTGTTAACAGGACAGAACATTTTTTTTCTTCAGGCCTGTGGGCAAAACGACATATGGAACGCTTGAACACTTGAAAACGCACAACATCTCCCCCTTCCCAACAGACACGCGTCAATAATAAGATCTTCCTAACGGAGAACGGTTTTAATGACCTTGGAGATATTAGTTGGAAGTGGCAGGCCAGGTAGGCAGTTTTAGCTTGGTTTTCTAATTCGCAGGATTTAGGGGTGGTTCATGTTTATTCCTGCACTTCAGGGTGGATTAATCTCTGGTGGCGGAAAGTACCGTCAAGTCATAGCCAATTTATGGCGACCCTGCAGGGTTTTCAGGGCAAGATGTTCAGAGGCGGCCTGCCACGGCGCTTTCACACTCGTGAAATAATACACTCCCAATGCACTCTGCAACTGGATCTTGCCGTGTGAAATGGCAAAACCCACTTGTGAACTGTCACTGAAGTGGATTGAAGCTACATGATTCAGCATGTGTGAAATAGGGTTGGCAACCTCCAGGGGTTAGCTGGAGATCACCTGGGATTACAACCAGTGTTCCCTCTAAACTGAGTCAGTGTGAGCTAGCTCAGAGATTTTTAGCCTCCAGCTCACACATTTTTGACTCCGCTCAGGAAGGAGGGCTCCAGAGCAAACTAATTTATGCAGTAGTCAGATTGCTTGCTCACAACTTAGTGCCAATAGCTCACAAAGTAGAATTTTTGCTCACAAGACTCCACAGTTTAGAGGGAGCATAGATTACAAGAAGAAGAAGAGATTGGATTTATACCCCGCCCTTCACTACCCAAAGGTGTCTCAGTTGTTGTTGTTCAGTCGCACAGTCGAGTCCGACTGTTTGCGACCCCATGGACCAGATCACGCCAGGCCCTCCTGTCTTCTGCTGTCCTCTGAAGTTGGCTCAATTTCATGTTCGTTGCATCTATGACACTGTCTAACCATCTCACCCTTTGCCGTCCCCGTCTTCTTTGACCTTCAATCTTTCCCAGCATCAGGGTCTTCTCCAGTGAGTGCTCCCTTCTCATTTGGTGGCCAAAGTATTTGAGCTTCAGTTTCATTATCTGGCCTTCCAGGGAACAGTCAGGGTTGATTTCTTTGAGGATTGACTGATTTGTTCTTCTTGCAGTCCAAGGGACTCTCAAGAGTCTCCTCCAGCACCATAGTTCAAAAGAATCTATTCTTCGGCGCTCGGCCTTCCTTATAGTCCAACTCTCACAGCCATACATGTTGTCAGAACTACGGCTTGCCCAAGGTCATCCAGCCAGGTGCAAGTGGAAGAGTGGGGAATCAAACCCGGTTCTCCCAAGATTAGAGTCTGCACACTTAACCACTACACCCAACTGGCTCTTTTGCCTGGAGAAAATGGTGGGTTCAGAAGGTGGACTCTATGGCCTCATATCCACTGAAGACTCCTCCCAAACCCCACCCTCCTTGGGCTCCACCCCCAAAATCTCCAGGTATTTCCCAACCCAGAGCTGGCAACGCTGGTGTGAAAACGCCCAATAATTGTCTGTATCCTACTGAGCAACCCTAGACCTCCTCGGTGGGTTTCCCGTCCAAATACCAACCAGGGCTGACCCTACTTAGCTTCCAAGATCCAACTATGATAGCTATGCACACCTTTTAAGTTTTTCTTTGGGGGAAAGCCAGCAATTTTGCACAACTAGGCCTTGTTTCCATGTAAGAGGTACAATGTGCCAAGCCTCCCCCTCCCCTCCCCTCCCCTCCCCGCTTTCTTGGGCAGGCCAGGTAGGCAGGCCTCCAGTGCTCACCTCTACAAGTGGGAACAATCCTGACCCAACTTTCAGGTCGACCTTGTAGGCCAACAAAATAAAAGCCACTCAAACGCCTTTTAAAAGACTCGAAGCGTCACTAGACTTCTGTTTGCCTTCGCCACGACAGACCAGCTATCACTACCCATAAACCAGCAATAACAATGACGGGTGTCACAGGTGCTGCATCATCGCCTTCTCCTCTTGCAACTGACCCGGCAAGGAGGCCTTGAAACCACGGCTCCCCCCCCCCCCCCCGTCTCTTCCCCCGCACCCACCCCCACTCGCACCTTCCCTCGGCCGCAGGGGTTCGGGTCTGCCTTTGCGGCTCTCCTTCGCACGAAATCAAATCCGCGTCGCGCACGGGAGTGGGGGAGAAAGCACGTCCGGACCCCCCCACCCCCCGGGGGGGGGCATGCAAACATTGCACGAGCTTTGCAGCCTTACCTCGGAGCAGGGCCATGGCAGCTCGACTGTCTCTCGCCTGCTCGCAACGGCGCCCGCCCCCGGGCCAGCCCTTCCCGTTCCCTCCTACTCGCCCTTTCCCCTACTTCGCCCTCTCCCCCAGCCTGCCTGCCTGCCGGTCTGCAATGGCACATTCCGCACAAACGGCTCCTCCTCCGGAAAGGGGGGGGGGAGGAGGCACGCCCGCTGTGCAAATGGCTCGGGCACATGGTTGGGGACGAGCGAGAGCGCCAGGGATGGGGGGCAGTGTTCCCTCTAAGCTGAGTTAGTGTGAGCTAGCTCACAGTTCTTTAGCCTCCGGCTCACACATGTTTGTCTTAGCTCAGGAAGGAGGGCTCCAGAGCAAACTAGTTTATGCAGTAGCCAAATCGCTCGCTCACACAACTTTAATGCCAATAGTTCTCAAAGTAGAATTCTTGCTCACAAGACTCCACAGCTTAGAGGGAGCATTGCTCCGCCAGTGTTCCCTCTAAGCTGAGTTAGTGTGGTCTAGCTCACAGTTTTCTAGCCTCCAGCTCACAGATTTTTGTCTTGGCTCAGGAAGGAGGGCTCCAGAGCAAACTCATTTATGCAGTAGCAAAATTGCTTGCTCACAATTTTAATGCCAGCAGCTCACAAAGTAGGATTTCTGCTTACAAGACTCCACAGCTTAAAGGGAACATTGGCCGGGCTCACTTCTTCGCCCCTCCCCTCCCTTTGCACCAGGGAGCCCCAAAGACTCCCCCAGCCACAGTCAGAGGGGGAAAGGCGCTAATGCCTTTGCAGGCGCCGCGAGGATGCGTCAGTGACCCCCTCCCCTGCCCCGACTCAGCATTGGCGTCTCCGTGTGGAATCTGCGCCTGCGCTGCGGCTCTCCCCACCACCGCGCAGGGAAAGGAAAGGAAAGGAAAGAGAGCGGCGGGTTGGGCTCCGAACGTTCGCAGCGGGCGTTGCCGTAGCGACGCGGCTTTCTCCCTGCCCAAAATAATGATTTTTTTTTAAAAAAAGGTCTCTCTCCTTTGGCTAAAGAAGGGGCCGGGCCGGCAAGTGATGGGTGTGCTGGCATGTTGCTTCCAATCCATCCCCACTAAGGCTGGCAGGTCTGTGTTGGAAAATACCTGGATCCAGGAGAGGGCGGGGTTTGGGGAGGGGAGGGGCCTCGGC